GGTCAGGTGACATACCACTGTGCCCATGCGACACAGGACTTTGTGGAGAAAGGTGCCAGGTTTCCTGTCCACTCCATGACAGAACCTTGATATTTCCCATGACTCTGGATCCAGCTGGTGTGCATCCATGGCCATTTGTCCTGTTTAGTAAGAAGTACAGCAGCTAACAGGCCAAACAAGACCCAAGACAGATAGACCAAGTCCACATTGGATCTGAGGTGAACCACAAGAGTCCAGAGCCCCAGAGTCAAGATGCTCAAGTCCCTATATACATTATAACTGAGAGCCTAGTTGAAATGCTGGAGCCTGGAGCTTGGAGCTCAAAGTAGGGTCATCCTTGGGACAGAAAGTTCAGAAGCAGGTGGCCCTCATCTGTCTTGCATAATTCATCTTTCAGGCCCCACAGGAGACATGTGACCAAGACTGACCCTAATTAACCCTCTATCTATAAGAGGCCTGATAGTGTGGGCTGCTGGGGGCCAGCCCTGGCATGGTGGGAAGGAGGAGAAGGTCTTCTTTCTTCTCCTCGTTGTCAGTTCTTCTTGAGGCAGCTGAGGGGGATGGGAATGGGAGAGCATCAGCAGGGGGTAAGACTTGGCCTTAGGAGATTCAAGGTAAAGCCTTGGGCCTTACAAGATTCTTGGTAAGACTTTGGTCTTATGTGATAATTAGGGTTGATGTTTAATAAAATCTTACTTATCTACATTACTAAAGTTTACTATGTCACTGTAGCTGACCTGCCCTCTGATATCCTCTGAAGCCAGAAACTGCTGGCACTTGACTCCTCAGCCCAAGGACAGCAGAGAATTAGGCAAACAGCCTTTGTACTTTATCTGCAGGAGCTGCTAGGCTCTAACTTACTCCGCTAGTTTAAGGTCGCAGGAAGAAAAAAACACTTGGAGAAGTTATTACAGAATTTATTGCTAAGTGTGAAAAGTTTCCTATGAAAACTAAGAGGGAAAGTGGTAAGGCCTTAAGTGGGAAAAGGAAAAAATTCTAACAAAGGAAAAATTCTAAGTGAAAAAATTCGAAGCAGGGGAAAAGGGAAGGAAAGGACAAATGGCTTCTAACGAACGTCTACATCTACGACTACTCTATTCTACCACTACCACGACTACCATGACTACTACTCTCTTTGTCTTTGTCCTTAGTACTTATGCATCTTTCAGAGTACATGGTCACATGTTACAAAGTTCATCACAAGTTCACACCAAAATCAAATCATAAATTGAAATAGAAGTTTACAACAGAGAATGTTTACATGCATGTCCATTAGGAGTAATTATCCGGCTAAACATCTATCACCTGTCTAGCTCCACAGGTTCACTGAAGGTTTAAAACTATAACTAAGAAATTAGTGAAGTTTTGTATAGATAAACGCAGGCAATATTTTCTCTTCTGTCCTAGCACCTATAATAAATCTTGAGTTCCCTTTTAGTGACCTTTGGTTAATTGTTTTACAACCTCATTGGAATGTGCTCTGAGCAGGAGAAATATTGGTTACTATCTAAGGGCAATTAACTGATGACACTCAGGAGACTGGCAGAGTTCTCGTTGCAGTTTTGACTATCAGAAAGGGACCTAATAGCAGTCCCGCTATAAAAAAGCTTAATAATCATTGACATAATTTTAGGAATTTTTATAGGATCATCATTAAGACTTAAGAAGTCATCTATTTGTCTATATAGCATCACTACAAGATAGTACATCTTCATGGATCTGCAGAGATCTGCTCCAAAGGGGGGTGTACTATTGCTTAGTGATTGTTACATATGTTTAATAATAATAATAATAATAATAATAGGAAAAGCGTATTAATAGCAGGAATCTTTCCTAAAATAAGTCCCTCACAGCCTTGCTGGATGAGGGCTCACTTTGTCGCAGATTATATAATAATCCGAGGCAAGCAACCAGGATGATCATCTGCTAATAATTAGCTTGTCCCATTATGGCTCCTGACAGTGGACATGCACATTAGAACCACTGCAGAGCCCTGAAATGGCAATGTAGGGGTCTTGCTCTTTCAGAAGCTGCTCTGAAAACTTAACACGGTAGCTCACACACTCAGGCCTGTCACCCCTGTTTTGCCTCCAGTGACTCTCATTTTCACACTACTGCTGCCAGACATTAAACATTATGGCTTTGTGCTGTGCCTACAGATGTTTTTGTACTCTGGGTGTCTCTGAAATCCTTCTATCTTGTCAGTGTTCTCTGACACTGTCCTTTTGGCATGCTGCCTGCCTCCCTAAACCCTGAGACTCCATGAAGGGCTTAGTCTCCTCTGCTGGTGTTTGAATCTCACACAGTCCATTCTCCAGCTTATTCAGTTTTGGCTCATCTATGGAGGTGAGCTGATCTTTAAGAAGTACATCTAGCAGAGGATGGCCTTGTCTGACATCAATGGGAGGGGAGCCCCTTGGTCATGTGGAGGTTTGAAGTCCCACTGTAGGGGGATGCTAGTGGGTGGGTGGGTGGGGAGCATCCTCATATAAACAGGGGGAGGAGAAAAAGGATAGGGGTTTTACGGAGGGAAAACTAGGAAGGGGGACAACATTTGAAATATAAATAAATAAAATAACCAATAAAAAAACAAGAAGTTCATCTTAAGGCTTAGTTTTTACCTCTCAAGCTCAATATTCAATTCAGGTCTTGCCAGTGTTATGTGCTGATTTTTTTCAGTAGTCTGTTGATTTTTGCTTGCAATGTTTTTTCATCCTGTTTAAAAAAAACAAAAACAAAACAAAACAAAACAAAAAAAACCCCTGCACACATGCTTCAGCAGTGATTCTGGGCATTACTGCTTTGGCTGGTCCCGGCTGGTCCCAGCTGACAGCTTGTTTCTCAGTGCTCCTAACTTTTCATTGCATTTACATGTGGTTGCCATTGGATGCTGGTAGGCCTGCTTTTCCAGAAGGAATGCTTTTATTCCTACACAACCCAGAATTTGGACTACATGACTGTGGACCACAACCCAAGACAGCAGGGAGAAACTGAATCATGAATTCCTGTTGTTTATCTCTTGCCTTCTTGTCTCTGTCAGGCCAGCTTTTTCCTAGCTTGAGCTGGGGATGAAAATCTTACTCTGTCTTAGTTAGGGTTTTACTGCTGTGAACAGACACCATGGCCAAGACAATTCTTATAAAAGACAACATTTAACTGGGGCTGGCTTACAGGTTCAGAGGTTCAGTCTATTATCATCAAGGTGGGAAGCATGGCAGTGTCCAGGCAGACATGGCGCTGGAGGAGCTGAGAGTTCTATACCTTCATCTGAAGACAGAAGACTGACTTCCAGGCAGCTAGGAGGAGGGCCTCCAAGTCCACTCCCACAGTGTCACATTTCTTCTAACAAGGCTACACCTCCCAATAGTAGCACTCCCTGGGCCAAGATTATGTAAACCACCACACTCTTCTGACATCCCAGCTTGACAACAGTCTCATTCTTGAGCCGAGGCTGCAGGACCTCGTACCTGAGGCTTCAGATCTATATCCATCCACACATGCCCAGCACTGTGCTCCATCGCTCTCCTGGCTGCAGCTGCAGACCCAAGCAGGATTCTTCTACTCTTTGGCTCCTTCCTGCCAGGCCACACGGTCTCCAGCAGGGTATTTTTAACAAAGCCCACAGGGAACAGGAGGAAAGAGCCTAAAACAGACAACCCCTGCACAGGGCCAAAAAGGTGGGCCTGGGTGAGGAATGAACTGAGACCACAACTAGTATGGCACTATGGGGCCCGGACAGGGGGCTAGACTGAGATGACCACCAGTCTGGTACCATATTGCACTGGCAGGGCATGGCACTCCTGAAACTACTTGTGAGCTGACCCCAGACACTCAGAAACCTTGGTGCCACTAAGAGGAACAAGCAAGTGGTATAAAAATGGAAGAGAAACAAGAATGTAGACACAATGAAGAAAGGCAGAACTGGAGAGTCGAAGGTAGCGAGGAACGGCCTGATATAAGTAACTGGTGATGCCATCCGGGACCATGGTAGAGTTCTGGCTTATGCTGCCACTGGAGGCCACATCTGGTTCCATGGCCCTGCAGTAGCAGGAGGGGTCTGTTATTATCAAAAGCCAGGTGGAGTCCCTCCCTGGTCTGCACTGACACCTCGGGACATGTTGATGTCTGAGGGTTGTACAGAACTGGCTCTATCCTTGCCTGGGCATCATAGGAGAGCCTGGGGGTATGAGAGCAGGAGAGTTCACCCTCCCCCACACCCCCAGCTAGCTGCAGTACTTTGAAGAACAGGCCCTGCACATCACCCAGAAAGCAAAGTAGATTTGACTCTGGTGATGGTAGTTTTAGGTGACTCAGCCTAGGGGGTATGAGTGTAGGTCCTGCCATTCATTTCCTGTGTGGTGGTATGGATCAGAGAGAGATATCTGCCTCTCCAGTCACCCCTAGCTACCTGCAGCAGGCTGGAGACCTGGCCCTGGTGTCATGAAAGCAAGAGAGCAGGCCCTGCACCCCACCTGGGCAGCAGTTGGCCCCGATGGTGCAGCCGTGGATGAGCCAGCCAAGGGCACGAGAGCTGAAGAGCAGGCTCTGTCCTCAGCTCAGATAGCTTCTAAGGCCCAGATCCAGGGCTTTGAATTGGCCCACCCAGCATCTACACCATGAATAAATTGCTGGAGTGCATGAAGTAGCCGGTCCTATAGATCCAAAGCTGCAGGACCTCCATGACACAGAGCACCAACAGGATATCCCAGAGGAGTCCCAGCATCTATACAGCAGCAGAAACCCAAAACCTTATACCAGACCAATCCACATTCTAACAATGAACATTTGCAAAAAGTGAAGACAAAAGGATATACTGTGGGGCACACTGTGACCCGCTACAGCTTCCACAACAAGGTATTTTCCCCTCTGAAGGAGAAAGAGGTTGCAAGAGTGGAAGGCAGGTACTAGGGGAAGGGGAGATAAGTGGGATTGGTGTGTATGATGTGAAATTCACAAAGAACTAATAAAAAGTTAAAAAAAATACTCAGGAACAAAAATGGTAAACATTTCCTTAGAGGACTTTATTTTTCTATTTTATATAGACCACTTATTAAATTAGAAGGCTGAAAAGTAAAAATATATCATATAATCAAAGAAAAATCTGGACATGGACCCCCATCCCCAAGATAACTGCAGACAAGAGTTCTGAGAACCATTCCCACCAACCTCCAGACAGCGTACCAGATGATACCAGCTCTGTAAAGAGTGGCTGGGAGGCGAGGCAGAGCCCAGTCGCACAGCTCTTCTCTCATCAGGTAAGCATCACTCACACGGTGAGATGCAAGCCCTGGCCATGTCAGACCACAAGCGTGCAGCAGGGTACAACTTCAGCCAACCAACATGTCCAGAGAAGAAAACAGCCAATGCCATCCCTAGACCCATGTCTACCGAGAGCTGGCCTGAGGGCAGGGGCTCCAGTGGACACCTGAGAAATTTTGCTACCTACGCCAATCTTCAAACTTGGCCAGAGCAGCAATGACACCCAGTGAAAGCCTGGTCCCCATGCAGAAGCTTGTCTGCCTCGTTGTGGCCTCTGCCTTTGAGCTCCTTCCAGAAATGACTTTTCCTCTCAAGAAGATTCAGGATGGGATGGAAGGCTAAGCAAGCCATGCTCTGATGTCTTGGTACCTGCACAGGTGCTGACAAGCACTGCCTCTTTCCTTGCACTAGATGGGTGCTGGCATGAAAATCCAAGACAAAACAGCACAAAACCTAGGAGAGTGGAGTATCACTCAGGCCTTATAAAATGTGATCTTTCTTCAATCTATTAAAAAAATAAAATGTTCATGACAAAGGGAAGTCTGTTTCAGCTCAAGTCTTAAATCTGTCTTAAAACCATCACTCTTCCTCATGTGAGCAAGCACAAGTTAGTGAATGCTGCCTCTGAGTGCTGTGGGGGCTGCTCAGGGGCTGGCAGCAAATCTCGATGCTCCTTACAGAATCTCACATGAACAAAGTGGCCCTGTGCTAGCCCATACCTCCTTAAGGCAGAAGCTGATGCACATAGCCACACCTGAGACCTAGAGACAGGTGTTGAAGTTCCTGTTCTGCTGGTAACACTAAGCAGACCACTTAAGGAGGTCCTGCCTGCTTGACTCATCCACCCTGTAATAGGGCACCTGCTTACCAAGCACAAGGCCGCACAACAGTCTAGAATGGAGACTTCCAGTGCTTGGTTATGTTAAAGTGAGTGGTTGAATCTATTTAACAAACATTGGTCTTTCTTCTCCATTGCAGTTAAAAGGTTTAAAGACCTACAACTAAAGAAAAGTGCTTGTTACCACCACCCCATGCTCACTGTCACCACATACTGCCTTTAGGCTTACAAAAATAAATACTTATGAACAATATATTTGACAAAAAGCACCCCCATGGAAAACAGAAAGTAGTATATTTTACTGCGTTTTTAGGAGGCAAAGACCAAAACTGAAGCACTAAATTTTCTTACTTGAAGTCCTTCACAATAGTCCAAACTGCTAGGAGTCACCTTCATGCCCATATTGGGGGATCACATATTCAAACACTGGATGTGCAAATTCTCAGAAAAACAAAAAGCAATTGCAATGTAAGGCAAAACTGTTACACCATAAACATGTGACAATGCTCTATAGCTTCTTAACAGTACCTGTACAGTGTATCGATTCTGAGAAAGCTTTCAAGGTCTGAATCTTAGGACAAGGTGCCACCCAACTTCTCCCTAAACAGATCTATAGCCAGGTCATGGGCTCAAAGGTTTGCAACCCAAAATATAACACACAATATCCACTGGTCAGGTACAGGCACCTCTACCTCCATGAAGGTTTAATTTAAGCATAGATTTTTATCACTCAAGCCAAGCTACAGTATGGGTCCACAGAGTATACTGCAGGTCAGTAGTGTCACGATGCTTGAATTTTAGTAGTAAGCACAGAGTGCCACACCCACCCATCTCCTTCACTTGACTCTTGGGTCTGTGATGAAGGTCTATCAATAAGAACAGCCGCTGGAATAAGACCCACAATGCTGGTACTAAACAAGAGGATGTGAAAAGCAGCCTCCAGCAGTGAGAGCCAACGTGGGGCCTTGCCAACCAAGCACCAGGTCCAGACACCTTCTGTTTTCAAGTTGGATTTCTGTGGCTGAAGCCTAGCCAGACAGTGGCAGGTAAGCTAGACAGGAGGTTAGAGACCTGCTGGATATGGCTGGGAAGCATATCTCACTGGCCTAGGACTAGCTGAGAGGCCCAGACTCATATACAACATCAAAGGAGAGAAGGAGCTTTTAGCTTGAAAGTTCTAAAATAACCTGTAAATAAGGGCACACAAACTCAGTGCACCCTCAACAACCATCTCAGCTGGGCTGAGTAACTAACTCCATGCCATCCATCAACTCAGAAGGATGCTGTACAGTTTCTAGAATCCTGGCAGAGGCAGTTACTTTCTGTGAGAATGTATTCCAGAATAAGGTGAAGACAGGAGATGCAGGTCCTCAAACAGGACCACTGGTCTGTGCAATAACAGGGCCATGCCACCATCACCCAGCTAGAGACAAGGAGAGAACTGTCCCCCAGCAACAATGAAGAGGACTGCCTGCCTAGAACCAAAAATCCACATGCATCCCCAAAATATGTGGGAAGGGGCGGCGCAGATGTCCAAGGAAGGGTATGTGGATGATCTTTCATTGGAATCTTGTGGGGATGGTGACCCTGGGGAGCCCTGGATGGACAAGTCCAAGGGTCAGTGGTGTGAAGCCAAAGGCCACAGGTGGGTCTAGGACTCTTCACCCATTTGCAGCAAGGAATTGATGGCAGCATCTTTGTTCCCTCTCTGGGCTTCAAGCACAGAACGGATTACTTCCCTGTCCATGTTGGGAAACATGTCCTGGATAGCCTTGAGGTCCTCCTCATTACAGCGAGGCTGAGGAGCCACAGCTGGTGGGGGCATGGCCACAGGCACCATGCCAGGGCTGCAGACAGCAGGCATCCCTGAAAACAAAAGTGAAGTCTGGTTAAAAAGAGTGGGACCAGGCAGGCATGGCGATGTATGACTTTAATCCCCAGTACTCGGAAGGCAACAGGAGAATCTCTAAGTTCAAGGCCAGCCTGGTCTACAGAATGAGTTCCAGGACAACAGTGGGGCCACAAAGCTGCAGTGCCAAAGGAAGAAATAATACATCTCACTGGCCTCAAGGGGAAAGGCTACCTTAAGTCTGACTTAAAAACAGACCCCACAGGGATGCCTATGGCAGATGGAATGGGCCATCCTCCTCACTACTGAGGCCCCCTCTCCTCATGTTTTTTTTTTTTTTTTTTCCTGAACAAAAATTCAAGTTGAATCTATCTAATCAGAAATTTACAGGGAGCAAGATGGAAATTTGGTAACCACATGTGCTACTTCAAGAACTTAGGAGACTCATCACAAACATGTGTCTTTACTGAGAATGATGACACCAAAGTCTAGAATTTACTTTGACAGCCTAGCGAAGACATAACAGTAGCCATGCATATGGTAAGGTCTTAAAGCTACATAAAGCACTCCCTGAAAACTTCAAGAAAAGCTGCATACTAGCCTTTCACAATGAAGACAGTACACATCAGAAGTATATCACTTTTCAGCAGCCTGAGGCATCAGGGCCCTTAGTGGGGCAAGGGAGCCAATCCTTTTGCCATGAGAACAACAAAAGGATGCTGGCAAAGGGCTCAGCATTGATGCTACATGGTCCCTGCACCCTGTAGATGAAGGGCTACAAACTGAGAAACAGAGGCAGGTTTCCTAAGTACCCTCTGGGCCCGGCCTTCACCTTCATGCCTTTGTCCTGACTGACCTGGACAGGTTGTCATCAGACACCTTACAAGTTGTCACCATATAGTGGTGTAGCTGGTGTTTGCTACTTTGAGGGTTTTTCTTTCTTCTACCCTTCTCCACCCCTTTGAACTCCTAATATTAGACAGAAGAGGAAAAAAAATGAGAGAAAGGAGGAGGGTGCTTATCATTAGATTACTTCCTGCTGATCAGGGGCATCAAGATCTTTGGGGCGAGTCTGATCTTTGTCATCAGCATATCTAACTACTTCTTGTTTCTTCTTTGCACATGATTACTTAACAAACCACAAACAACAACAAACAATAAACAACCAACAACCCACCCTGCCTCTTGGGGCCCTAGCATTTATATACCCTCTGAAAAATCTTCTAAATACTACACAATCGCAGAAACTATCTGTTGCTGGCAAAATCATGCCTCTGCTAGAACATGAGGCAAATCATAGTCGGCTGCTGTGAACAATCTGAAGCAGTCTCATGTCCCACACCTGGGATTAAAACAAAAACCTATTGTTATAATATTTCTGTATTTTTTTTTAAAGAAAATAAAATCGCATACCTTTAATCCCAGCACTTGGGAGGCAGAGGCAGGCGGATATCTGAGTTCGAGGCCAGCCTGGTCTACAGAGTGAGTTCCAGGGCAGCCAGAGCTACACAGAGAAACCCTGTCTCGAAAAACCAAAAAAAACAAAAACAAAAACCAAAAAAAAACAAAAAAAAAAAAAAAGAAGAAGAAAAGAAAAGGCCAAAATTGTTGCCTGGCCCAGGTGTAAGACAGCAGCCTGTTGTTTCTAAAGGGACTCAACCAACCTCACTAGAATGAATGTAGTGCCTGTGTGCACACACTGCCAACTGAGGCAACACAAGGAAAGGTGCAAAATGATATCCAGGCCAGGCAGTTTCCTTTGAGTCCTGCTCAGACTATTCCAACACTTTTCAGCCTAGCTGGGTACAGGGAAGAGAGAGGACTGGGCACTGCTGCAAAACCTGCAGACCAACTGCATGGGGTCGACGTAAGAAAGCTGTCTGTAGTCATCTGTTCCAGACCACTACACACAAGGAAGACTGACCCTGCTGTCTTCCATTCTCTAGAGTGGATATCATATTCCCAATCCAAGTCTGACCTGTCACCATGACTGAGTATGGACCAGTTTACCAAAACTTCCTTGTCTTTGTGAGAACAGATGTGGGGTGACCAGCCAACTCTGCTGGTAAAGAATGGACAGGACCCTGCAGTCTTGGGATGCAAACAATGTGTCCTCTCAGGTTCAACTGGGTACTGTGAGGAGCCATGCTGATGGAAGTGAACATGTAGCTCACACTAAAGCACTATGTTGAATAAGAGCAGCTCAATGCCATAACCCTATGACCCCTTCATCATAAACTGACACAAACTGATAGAGTAGGACCAATTCATTTCCAGTAGGAGGACACTTAGCTACAATGTACACATTATAAACAGTAGGCAGACACAAGTCAGTGAAGCAAGAGCCTTTTCACCAATAGAATGCCACCCAGTAAACAAAAGCAAGGGAGCTTTCCATTCAAGAAAAACTGGCGCTTAACACGGCAGCAGGGACAGCCTGGGTCCTAAATGGCCTCACTGCAACAGCCCAAAACTGACACCAACAGCTACAGGCCTCGGAGGCCTTGGAGGCTACCCCTGCTGGCTAGGGAACTCAGGAGCAGGTGCATATCACAGAACATTTCTAAGTTCTCAAACTAATAGATTCATAAACACACAGGTAACACTTGATCCTTAATCTTCAGCTTCAGCTCTGCAAAGCAGCAGCTGTGATCTTGAATCTAAGACCTCAGACACAGACAACAGGGTCTCTACTTCCTGATATGCAAAGGGCATCTACTGGCTATGCATTGCCCCCTGGGCATATGGCAAGGTTACACCAATGCGCAGTGAGAATAGGCTAATGTGAGTCTCCTCACTCCTGTCTAACTGTGCTTGAGTGCAGTCCTCTTTCACGAAAGGTCTGTGTACACATACCTCACACCCTGAATAGTCAAGGGTATGAGTATTCTCAAGAGAGCAAACTCTGCAGCATGAAGCTGATATGAAGCAAGAAACATCATGTGACTTGACCTTACTTTTGAGAAGCCAGAGAGCACAGGAATAAAATGCCCTGCTGCTCCTGCTTCTGTAGACTGAGATAACCTGACACATCGACCAGATGGCAGCCTAATCATCTCTGCACAGGATCCCCCAAGTACTCTGCTAGGATGGCTCTGCCATCATAAACAGAGTAATTATAAGAACCAAAGCTGGGCATCCAATTTCAATGAAGCAACATGCTTATTAATGGCCCCAAGATTAAGACAAATTAAAAACAAAAAGCAATTCAACAACTTTGTTAGAACCGATTCTCCATTAGTGGAAGCCTTGGTTCAGAGAGAAGTGGCTAATTCTGGGGTGGAAGAAGGAAATGTACAAGATAGCCAGAGGCTTCCTGTGCCAAAGTCAGGAAGCTCACACAGCATGGAAGACATCAAAAAGCACACAATTCAGCCTAAACGCCTGGCCAATCTGGGATCACCGAGTGACAAAACAATACAGTAACAAATTAATAGCTCAGAAAATAAAACAATCCTCAAATCCACAGTGCTACAACTATCAGTGGTCAGCTCAGTCTGACAAAAACTAGGCAGCAACTGTGACCTTGAATACAATCCTCGAGGAGATACAAAGGGTTCTCAAGAGAATGAAAAGGCAAACTGTGTCACCTTGCCAAACACTAAGATGTGAGGCAGCAGAAATGAAAGAGAGCCGCTTTCTAAACAGCATCTGGGTGCACCTTGCCAGAGAGTGAACAGGACTGCAGAGCCTGTCACAAGTTCTGGGCAGACCTAGACCACTAGCCCTGTGACCTGCAGCACATCTCCTTGGGAAGAGTCCTCAATTTCAGGAAGGATGCTTACATGGGGACAGAGCAGACATCAGAGGCTGTTCTCCAAAAGAAAAATATCCTTTTACTTCTGTGGCAGCTTTTTTATCAGTAGGAAACTATTTCTATCTTTCAAAATGTACATCAAAAGTGAGGATCAAAGTCTATTTGTAGAGGAGCCTTCCCTAAAATACACATTCTAGAGCAGTCTAGAGGCACTACAGAGAATGAAGGACAGGAGCCAAGAAAGAGTAAACTGGTCAACAGCTTTATCGTTTGTTTAGAAGTAGTTCTCCTATTTGTAACTGGACAGAAGTTTGTCTTTGTTGCTTCCCTACCCCTTCTGCCGCCACTCAAAGATATGCCCAGTGCCTGTAGATGGACTTGGAAAGAGGGTACCCTTGTTCAGATAAGACCATGAAGGAACAGAAGAGCCCCTGTCCAGTGACCTTACAAGACATAAACATACAAAGAGGGTGGCGATCACAAGAGTATGAAGACAGACCAGGGAGATATGGCCAGAAACCAAGTCACACCAAGAGCTAGAAAACATAGAAGTTCACTCTCTGGAGCTTCAGAAAGGATTGCAGCCCTTGTTTTGGCTTCTGGTCTCAGAATCTGAGGGAAGAGACTTCTGTGGCATTGTCCCATCTGTAGCCCGTTGCCTCTGCTACACTGGGGTACCCTTTGTGCTCACTGCACTTCATTCGATTCTCCCTCCTCAGACCTTCAGTTTGGGACGAATTCCATACCCTAGTCAGACTGCAGTTCAAAAAGGAACCTGGGAGCCACTCTGGGAATCCAACCTTCATACCTCAGGATCCGATCACTGAACTGGACAGGTCAGGATCTTTTATTGACGACTCCAGAGTGCACACATCCTAAAACCCCACTCTCCAGATTTCTAAGGCTCTCGGTGAACAACCACACTGCTTTAAGGTTCTCTAAGGTCTTGGGTCACTCACTCCCCACTTGACTGTTCGCCTTCTACTGCAGGCTGTACATTCTGGTCTCTGCTGATCTGGTGGCAACCTACTCCAGTCTCAAATACTGCTGGGACCAGGAAACCTGTGAACTTACCCTCCCTTTCCTTTGCAAAGTGCTACCCTTTGTTCCTGCAGGAAGATTTGTCATAGGCAGAAGGCCCAAGTTCTGTCTGTCAGGGCTGTTTTCAGGATATGTGTGGGTGGATTTCATTCCTGAGTCCTGCACTATCTTCCCTAGCTCAGTAGGCATAAGGGCAGAGTTTAATAAAGGCTAATAAGTCACTCCATTCTGGCTGTGTGGGACCCTCAGACCCCACACCACTGAGCCAGAGCAGCTCTGTGCCGTCCTAGATCCAAGGCAACACTCACCCTGAGCACCAGCAAGTAGGGACTATGTAGGCCAAGTCCCATCCAGGACCTCATATTCCCTCTTGCCCTATAGACTGGCCATCGCCACTGCCTTAGCCTTTGAGTTCCTTGGGATAGCAGACTTCCATGGTCTGCTTGGACTCCATTTCCCTGGACTCTCGCAGAGAATAGGGAGCCTGCAGGCCTGCCCTGGTGTCTACTCTCAGAGCTTTTCTTGTTGGCTGAAGCTAAGAAAGCAGCTGTGTGATCTCATCTGGCTCGCCCTATTCTGGTAGGAGGACCAGTTGGACACCACACACTGTGGACACCACAGGAAGATTGGAAAACTAAAAAAATACATAAAAGCCACATCTTGAGTTTGTGACCCAAGCAGATATTAATTTACTGGGTAAATACTTCCAATGAAAGCCATGATTTTTTTTTTAAGATGTATGCCTTGTCTAATAGGAACCAGGTTTTCTTATTCCAGTAACTCGCACATGAAAATGTACCTAGACAATGTTTCTACACCTCCAAAAATGTCAACTCACCTTACTTGTGGCAACAATTAGGGCAAACACTATTTCCTATGTATGCATAAACAATTCAAATATGACACTGGAATAAGCTTTAGAAGGATCTTCATTTAAAGTAGCCATGCTTACACAATTCTACACTACTCAAGTTTTGCAGGAATGCTGGGCCCGTCCCTCCTCCTGTCCTACTTTGCCCCAGGATTGCCTACCAAAGAGGCAGTACACACCTGCAATGGGCACATAGCCAACACCCTGCTGGTACACAGTTGGCATCAGGACCACAGGCTGAGGTGGCATCATCATGGCAGCTGGGAGGGACTGAAACACAAGAAAGAAAAACATGGTGTCAAGGAGGACCATACCATATGTCAATCTTGTTACTTCCGGTATCATAGGAATAGTCCCAGCCACAGCCCAGACAGTAACACCCAAGACAGGGAGTCCTCAGCAACAATGAATGTTCTGGCCACTGGTTTCATCTGCACCAAAACTCCTGTAGACCACTGCCCTTAAGTTGGAAAACTTGGGCTGCAGACTTAGTTAGAAAAGTGCTTGGTACACAATCACAAGGACCTGAGTTCAATCCCCAGCACCCATATATAAAGCCATGTTTGGTAGCTCATATCTATAAACTTAGGGCTAGGAGGCAGAGACAAGAAGATCCCACAAGTTCATTAGCCAGCCAATCTAATGAAATAAATGAGCTTCAGTTTCAGTGAGAACAAAAGTCAGGGTGAAGATTAAAGAAAACAAATGATGTCAACCACTGGCCTCACATGAGCTGCAACCGCCACCACTTTTCACACAAAACTTACAAAGCTCCCTTCAGGGTCTGTTCCAGAGACTGCACCAGTATCAGTAGCTTCTCTCAGAAGTTATTTATTTCACGTGTCTTAGTATTTTGCTTGCATGTATGTACGTGCATTATGTGTGTGCCTAATGCCAGTGAAGGTTAGACTAGGGTACTGAATCCCTTAGAATTGGAGTTACAGTTGGTTATGAGCCACCATGTAGGTGCTAGGAATCAAACCTGGAAATTTCCACAAGAGCAGCAGTGCTCTTACCTGCTTAGCCACCTCTCTGGCCCCAGCTCAAATAATCTTGAACTGTAGATGAGCTAGTAAAAAATGGACCTATGCTCCTGTAAAGACAGGTCACACTCAACTCCAGAAGGAGAGGCATGCAGGATGGTCAAGCTGAGGAGGCCTGCATACAGGTCCTTTATTCTCCCCTGTTCTTTCTCAAAGGCTCAAGAACAACTAAAATGAAAGGCCTAGATAACACAAAGGAGACAGTAGGAGTCCAGCCCTGCCTCCCGTGACTTCCCAGGGTTATGGGAGTAATAGCTGCCTCAAGGAGGTGCCAGAACCTCTTTGAAGATGGCCTCTCTGGACAGTGAACTTACCGTGTAGGACATGACCAGGTTAATCATGCCCTCCTTGTCATCGCCCTGCCTCCCACTCAGGCTATACCACTCGTCCTCCACTTGGCCCTGCTTCAGGGACTCGGGGATGGTGATGTGGGTCCAAGCTATGCGGTCATCCATGGAGAAGGCTCGCTGAGGAAGACAAGAGTAAAATGACCTCATCATGGCCCACAACAACCCATATCACACACAGAGACCCGCTTCTCCTATGGCTGTGACTCCACCTGGACTGCTGCCTGCATCTACCTTCTGTCTTCTCGGCAGGACAGGGGTCCGCCTCACTGCTCCAGCTTCCTTCAAGGAGCTTTTCATTAAACCACAATCCCAGACCTTCATAGATCACCTGTACCTGGCCGCCACCACCACTTCTGCATCTTCTGAGTAACCACTATAAGGCCAGGCCAAAGGACAATAAAGACTCTCTGGGCTGCCATCCTTGTCAGGGATGGACACTGTGTTCCCCAGTCCTTGTGGCTCTACTCTAAGTCTCAAGCCCAGTAGTTACAGATGAGGACAAGAGCTCCAAGCCACCATCCATAGCCCCACCCCAAACCTGCTTCTGATAGCCCTACTATTCTCAGACACAGAGAAGGAGAAAGGGACAAAACCAACCAACTAAATGAACAAACAAGAAGAAAGCAGAGGAAGAGGCAGAAGGTCAAGACAAAGGAGAAGCTGTGTCCCCCTTGCTGGACTGCCCATGCCCACTTCCTCTCTGGTTCTCACTGCCCTGGTTCTCTTCCCACTGTCCTTTGCTCTGTTTCAACGAGGCAAGCACATGGTCTCCAGAACTGAGCTACGAGGAGACATCTTCAGCCACCTGCGTTTCCTGACTGGCCTCAAAAAGTTGTGTGCCTAACTGCTGGCACGGCCATGGGACATTACTGGCAGAACCTTGAACTCATGCCTGCACAAGAACAGTGTTCCCATCCCTAGTAGAGCCTGACTCGACTGACATGTGACCTACCCATGAACATCTATTTTCACACTCTATTCATGCTTCTATCACTGGTGATGTTCCAATGGACACTGTCAAAGGAGCTGAGAGATAAAATAACTGTACCTTGTTATTCAGCCACTAAATGTCAGGTGTCCATGCAGGTCACATCCTATCACCAGCCACTAAATGCTAGGTACACATGGCCTGAGCACCAGGAGAGCAGCCTTGTGACTACAACCACAAGGCACACTGCAGCACACCCATGGCTGTCAGATCCCAAACTAGACAGGTCTGTAACATTGGGGCATCTCTCACCTCATCAAAGATCTCAAGGTAGAATGAGTCCACCCCTGGGGGCACTGTGCACTGAATGACCTTGTTCCAGCGAGGGTTCTTGGCGCCATTGTGTGCTGTGGGAGTTTCATAAACAGCATAGCCCAGACGCAGACGGCAGTAAGGGTCCATACGAGTCATTCCATAATTCTTTGCCAATTTTGCCTGAAATAACACAAAATTTAGAAAAACGAGGCATCCACTAGAAGAGACAAAGGCCAGTGTTTATATAAACTGCTTTTCTTACAGGTATTTCCCAGTGTGTGAAAAAACAGCCTTCAAGTTCACCTACCCGTGTCAGTAACCTGCTCTTAAACATGCTGCTAGTCACTCCTGGACGCATGTGACTCTGGGAACCTGGCCATCCCTGGCAGTAAGCAGGAAGACAAGGTCTCTCATCTGGCACTGTGCACTGACTGTGCACATCCTAGGGCTCTGCATGGAGCTGAGGTTGAACGGGAACCACAGTTTGCAGGGCAGTTGTGCAGGACTGAGTAGCTAACACCTCAGCTGCTACAAAGAGGTCAGGGAAAGCATCCTTATGGAGGATAATGTCCGACATGGACCAACAGTATCTTAGGCAGATCCCTGAGAAATCAACAGGTATTACCAGATATTTTAAAAAATAACTAGAATCAAAAAAGCTCTACTGTCCACATGGGAAATGAGGTGCAAAGCCCCAAGCCCATGCCTCCTCTTCAGCTCAATCCCTGCAGACTTCAACAGAAAACTGAGACCCACCTGTACTACAGTGATGCTGAGGCGACCCACAGTGCCAACTGCTGCTCCATACTGCAGCTGCTGGGCTGCCTGGGCATCCAGCTGGATCTGCTGCTGCTGCTGTGTGGGTGTTATACGGAGGAAGTCCTGGGGGAGTTCACCGATGTACACCTTTCAGTGAGGAGAGAGAAAGAGTAGAGTCAAAGCAGGTAGCCAAGCAATCTCACAGTACTATCTAGCTTACCTTGGAGCAGTGTGTCACTCAGTCCCCCCCCCCTTTTTTTTTTTACCTACAAGAGATTCCAGCCTGCCCTCATCTGAGCTTCTTTCCTCTGAAGACACACACCTTCTTATTCAGGAGGTACTCAAGGCAAACCAGAGCTCTTGGAAGGTTAAGTATATTTCTCAGTCACTAAAAAGGCTAGCTATTAGGGCTCCAGGGAGACCTGAAGTACACTAAGAAAGTAGAGTTTTTCAAGAAAAAGAGGAGAGCAAAGGAAAGGGGGAAAGGTTAACCAAGACTCCTAATGGTGGCCCTGGCTAAGATTCATTTTGGAGTTAACCACAGGGCCCTACCACAGAGGGAGACCACAGGAATACATGCTGAACCAGGGCTTCCTGGGAAGAAAACACCAGTTGGAAAATGGCATACCTGCCTGGGGCCCAAGAAGGAAGGGCCAAGGACCCTTTATAGCAGATGAGATGTTAGCTACTTAAGACCAGTGAGCCTTTGGAGCAAGCATCCACAGCTTCAACCAGATAACAACCCAACAGAAGGCAGGACTGCTCCTTGCCCAGTGGGTGCCAGTGTGAGCTACACAGAGGACATACTCACAATTAAGGAACAGCTGATGAAGCTCTGAAGGCTGAAAGCCCACTGAAAAAGGACCTGAGCAGCAATCAGGTGCCTAAAGTGGTCCCATCTTGCATGTTTTCCCAGAAGCACCAATGTCACATGTGAGCTGTGACACAGTGAATTTACTGACAGCTGCTGGGAGCACTTGGTATGCAGGTTCTGTGACATCCTGACTACCTCCACTGCACACACTCCTTGCCTATCCACCTAGCTGTGGGCTCCCACTGATATGCATTATGTACACTTCCACTTTCTGCAGTGTTTTCAGCTCCCAGCACACTGAAGACACCTGTCTCCACGGGGTTTGGGTCTTCTTTCCAAAGGTCCTTGAAAAAGGTAGACATGGCGGCTCACTCTCACATCCCCAGCACTTGAGAAACTGAGGCAGGGGAGTACAATGAGTTCAAAGCCAATCTGAGCTACATAGTGAGTTCCAGGCTAGCAAGACCCAGTCTCAGAAAATAAATCAAATAAATTAATAAAGGAAAGAAGCAAGCAAAAGTCACTAGATCCCCAAGTCTAGCCCCTTACCCTCTCCCCATTTCTATGTTTCTAGAAAATACAGACTAGTCAGATGTTCAGAACCAACCAAGGATACAGGCAGAGTTCTCTGTGGGCCACTCTTGAACAGTTGATCTGATGATGTTCCCACTACTCTCCTCTAACTTGAAAAAAGCATGTCACACTTGTCTGTGAGTGGTGGCTACTCAGCAGCATGGCCCTCTGCACCTCTGGGGTCTTTCAATCCAGAACCAGGAGGAAGCCCAGCCCTCACAGGCAGAACCACAAAGTAGCTGTGGCCAGTGAGACCCATGGTTAGCAAGAATGGCAGTTTCCAAAGCCTGAATGAAGCCTTTCCCAAGGCACATTACAAATGCTTCCGAGGAGTTCAAGAGATGAGAAAGGGCTGTGTTTCGAGAAGAGAAGAATCAGTTATCTATGGTATATAGGAAACACTGAGTCCCTCCCAGAGGAACTCCTGGCCCATATCCATGTTAGTCTATAGTGAATTTTGAGGGTGCACCTTCAAGATGTATACCCAGATTTATCTATACAACATAAATGGGTTATTAGGAAAAAACATATTTTCTTTAGCCAGGTTCTTGGGGTTATCCTATATAGGCCAAGTTCTCACTTGTCATTGGAATAACTATCAATTGTATGCCACTTATTATAGCTTTAGGGCTGTAGCAGGACACACTTGTGTCTCTGAAGGATACATACAGGAGGTCAAGCAGGCCAGTAGATATCACAATGATAGGTCAGGATATAGGCAGTCATGGGGGATGCTTAAGGCATGGAGGTCAGGAAAGACCATATGGAACAAGTCAGGGCTGTTTTTACTTTAATTGTTTCTTATCATCCTCTTCTTGGGACTAGAAACTTCAGACACTTGAGATTTCATATAAGGAGACTGTTGGGGTGGGGTGAGATTAAGATAAAACATGATCAGAGGTAGTGCTCTGTGGTAGAACATTTTCCCAGCATGCACAATGCTCTAGGTTCAATCCCAGGACTTTTGTTCCGCAAAGATCAAATTCAAATGTGCTATTTTTCAATAAGGATTTAATCATAAAATTATAAATAGGAAAGGAAAGTTTTAACAATGTGAATTTAACAGTGTTACTGAGGAGTAGAAAAGCAACTTTGTGGTAGAGAAAGCTAACCCATTCTGCCTTAGTTAGGTGATCCTTCATCCAAGCCAGGGAGCCAGGGATATGCTACAATACCCTCAACAATGTACCTTCTCAAAAAAAAAAAAAAAAAAAAAAAAACAAGGAAGCCTGAGATATGGTCAAAGGCAAGGCAAGATAGTGGGAGGAGCCGACAGCAGTAACAGGAACAAGCTGAATCTACAGCATGGACTGAAGCCAGTTTCATGGCAGTGATAATGGTCTGTGAATATGACATCAGGGGAAAGGATACGAGGAGAACTTTTTTCTATAGCTTTTCTCAAGTCACAACTTTACTAGAAAAAGTTTTACCTTAACCTAAAGAGGGAGCAGGGAGGACAGGAAAGACTTCAGCCTGAACCAGATAAACAAGGTGGTTATACAACCAATACTCTCTGTCCTGGGAGGGAAAAGACAAGCCTGCCTGTTGCTGTGGGTCCCTGATGATTTGTCTAAATGAGGACACCTCTTGCTGTATCTAAACGAGTCACCACTGTTAGCATAGTGAGGAATACTTCAAAACAAGAGATGAATTCAGGCATTGGTGCAAATTCTATAAAGTCACTGACACACTAGAAAATATCATCAATATATAGCTATTTTTAGTAAGGTTTTAAAATACAGGAATAATCCTAAAATGTATTTTTGCCATATACTGGTAGAGAAAATTTTTGCCATATATTGGCTACATTAAATATAAATTTTTATCATGGCTTAAGACTCAGAAATATTAAATAATGATTCTGTTAACAGACTCACAATGGATCTTTTTTACAGTTTATCTAAGAGTACAAGATGAATACATAGTTCAATACTAATAAATGACTTCAAACATGTGGGTTAAGACCTAACAATTTCAATTCCAGGTACCAGTCTATGGAAAAGCTGCAAGAATATAAGTATAAGTATGTCCATTTCTTATGGCCTAGGACAAAGGAAGTGCCACCAAGCAATGTTTGACTTCCCTAACCAGAAGCATCTATGTGGTCCAGACTCACAACTGTCAAAAAGAATGGGATATTTCTGTATCCCTAAAAGAATGAAAGAAATCCCTAGGATCCTGACCAAAAGGGGGGCAAGCAGGCAGGGCACAGCAGGCTTCATCCTTGGCTCTGTGTAGCACCTGAGGGCAACTCAGAGTAGGAACAGGCAGACAAATCTAGTGAATGAGGGCACACATAATACCCAATCTTTATAATCTGTGGCACAGGTGATGGGATGTCCCCATCCACCGAGAAGTTAGCTGTCTCGCCTAGGGTTGTCCAAAGGCTTTTGGCCTGCCTGGCACAGAGAACCTGTCTGCCAGCATGTTTGGGATACTGTAGGAAAAGTCAGGAAGCTGCTAGTCTAGAGTACAGCAAAAAAGATGGACAGTGACAAAGTTACTTCAACAGGTTAGTGTGCATATGAGTGTGTGAGTTGCATGTGTGCATCCATGTGTGTGTGGCTGTGGCACCAGCAAAGCTAAAGTGAACAAAGAAGAATCCTAAAGAAGCACCAGCTAATAGTTTAGAGTATCTGTGGCAGCGGGGCAGAGGTGAATCTGTTGCCTGATGCCAAGGCCAGGACAGGCTTCCAGAGCCAGTGATCACAGGGATTCTTATGCACAAAACTAGCTGCTACTGTATCTCCCCACAGTCACCACAGCTAGTCCCATCTGCCTTCAATAGGTACCTGCCAACTGCACAACCCACCTGTACCCAGCTCTACTGCCTCTCTGGTGTCAAAGCAGAATAGTATCTGAAAAGGATTTGATCACAAAAATATGTTTTCTGAAAAATGAAAAATAATTCATAAGAACCTAGAATCCTACTAGTTCATGGCATTTCCCATGAGCTGGGCCTGTTGCACTCTCTATGCATAAATCTGGCACATCCTTGTGAGCCTCGACAACAGTTCTGTATATGGTGATTGGCCCTCAGTTAGGACGGAAAGTGCACTTAAAGGTGTTCAGTGGTTTACACTGAAACTCCAAAGAATGGAAGACTAGTAAAGAAGTGACTGGGATGATAGCAGGGCAGGCATGCAGTGGACTGAGTACCACTGCCTGCTGCCACTCTACACAGAGCCCTCAGGAACTACAGTGAAGAGTTCTAAAAGAGGAACTTGAAAGCTCAGCAAAGGGATCCTGACAAACAGACACAAAGAGGATGAGGAAGAAAATTACACATCTCAGATCTGAACAAGCACTGACATAAAAATACTGCTGCTCAAAGGAAGGGAGAACCATCAAACATGGCACATCACTACCAGGTGGGATGGGACCACTGAGGCACCACCAACTATGGTCTTTGCACAGACTGGGGAAGACAGAGATGCAATCAACTTCAAATCTGCAAGACTGTGTGTTAAAATTCCTAGGGAAACTCCCAAGAGAAAAGAAATAAACTGTACATTTACCAAACTGATAAAGAATTTACTACTGATTACATACATTAAAAAAACGTGATTACTACTAATTACATACATTAAAAACTCTATTTTATGAATCAAAGCAAGAATAGAAACAAACAGAAGCCTTAAGGTGTTAAATGTGTATATATTTATGTCATATAAAACAAAATAGGTTCCAATAGAAACTTGTACTTCTTAGATTTGACTTTTAAAGATACAGCTATATGTTGCTGTGGGTAGAACCCTCCTAAACATAAATGTTGGATTAAATGTAAAGTCAAAACATAAACGAAAAAGAAAGAAAAGTCCTGTAAATACTTTCTAAAAGGAAAAGCGGAGTAATCACAAAACCACATAAAGTAAAGGCAAGAAGCCAGTAGAGGTCACTATCTGGTCACCACAGCCTGATGCAAGATTGTTAGACTTATACTCAGGTATAGCCTCACCTCAGAATCCAGAGCAGACATTCTCAAGGACCCAGAGACATAGGCCTAGTGGCCAGCTGGGGAGCACAACCTCTTGCTCAGGTTCTGCCCTGTGAAGATGCATAGACAAGAGGATGCTAACTCACACAGGAGGTTTGAAAACTACAGGTATGTAGTAACATAAATAAATAAATAAATAAATAAATAAATAAATAAGGCAAGCAAGCTGACATAGACCCTAAAGAACTGAACTCCCTTCTCCATTACTAGACAATTAGAAACCTACATTTTACCTTACTTTAGAAACTGTTTAAGGACAATCCAGGCTCCTCTGGGTGATGAGAAAAGCTTATCTTTAACAACAAATCCAGTTACCAAGTACAGAACATATGAACAAATTAAAAAAATGACTTTTGCCAGGCAGTAGTGGCGCACGCCTTTAATCCCAGCACTTGGGAGGCAGAGGCAGGAGGATTTCTGAGTTCGAGGCCAGCCTGGTCTACAGAGTGAGTTCCAGGACAGCCAAGACTACACAGAGAAACCCTGTCTCAAAAAAAAACAAACAAACAAACAAAAAGACTCTTTTGGGCCTAGAGAGATGTTTCAGTGGTTAAGTGCTGTGGCTGCTCTTCTAGAGGACCTGGGTTCAATTCCCAGCACCTACATGGTTCACAACCATATGTATCTTCAGTTCTGGGGAATCTTAACTTCCTCTTCTGACCTCCATGGGCCCCAAGAATGTACATGGTAATACATACATGTACACAGTCAAAATACTCATACACATACAGTAATCTAAAAATTAAAAAAAATCACTTTGCCATCACTAATCAAGTCATTGGCTCAGCTAGGCATGGGCACTAAGGACCACCCATAGAATGAGGAGGGGCAAAGCTCTCTGGTTAACCAGCATCTCAAGCAGGACAAGTCAGTACCTGTGGGACTCTATGCAACACATCTTATAAAGGAGGACCTTCAAAATGACACCCCTACATCTGGTGCAGCCTCCAGGCAGCAAGACCTCCTGCATGTATCCCTACAAGTCACTCACTGTAGGGAAGGAATGGGTTTGTGAACTGGGTAGCAAAAAGGGTTGGTAATTTCAAAATACCAGCACTTTCAAAGTGATATGGATATAGCATAGGGTGCAGTGCCCTGTGGTAGCTATTTACAAAAACAAAACCAAAAGAAACCCTAAAGTCTAAAAATGTAAAAGACCACTTATTCTGGGGAAGAACGTACTCCTTCAATAACATGTAGGTAGTGGCTAACTGTCCTCATACCTTCCCACTTAAAACCTCAACCAAGGATAGAGAGCCCTCCTCGCCCAGATGAGATTGTCCTCTGCCTTTTATAAGAGTGTCTTTTATAAGACACTCTTGTCAGTCCTTTCCCACTAGTCAGAGGTCAGCTACAGAGTCAACTGTCCAAGCCTAAGTCCAGGCTCCTGGGTTGGAGACACTAGGCATGGCCTAACCCCTGCTGGGACTACACAAAGAAGGCTGCTTGCAGGACCCAGCACTGACCAAACGCACACACTTCATCTGTTTGGAAGCAGCACTCCATTCACACAGGGTTCATACAACCCTGACATGACATAAGTAGCAGAGAAGCATACCACTCTCTGGCAGTTCTACTAGACCTTGACAACTGGCTAAAAGCCTTTGCAAATATTAGTGAATCCAGAGGTAGATGGGTATATCATTGCAGGTGAAGCAGCCAGTGAAAAGCTGAAAACTAAAAAAGGTCTGCACTCTAAGAAACAGCACTTCCCAGATGAAGTTCAAGGCCTTCTATTCTACAGAGACCCTGGCCATGGGCCATGCAGTCCTCCCACATCAAGTCCATACCTTTCTGGTTTCACTGGAGAGACCCACAGATCTGATGGTGACTGTCATTCTCTGGCTTACAGAAGTTACTATGCATGGCTGTGTCCCTGTGCTCCACACCTGTGGCTCAATGTCTGGTTGTTCTAGATATTGTGGCCACTAATACTACGATGAAGTCATGCAGATCAAAGTGAAGCTTGAGATACCAGTCACTTATGACAAGTCCTTACAGCCCAAAGTTACAAGTCATCAAGAGTGCTCCTAAAACCACTCAGCTGTCTGTGCTGTACTTCTGTGACTATGTTATCCCTAGAAAACTGGGCAAGCAGAAAGATCAAACATCAGGATTTGACTCTTGAGATTCTGCTAGTACGAACATCATCTGACACTCCCAATTACTCATCACTGTGTAGGTTATTCCAGCTCTGCACAACACCAGAGTTTCTCTAAGCAACAGGGAAAGATAGCTTCTTGCTCATGACAGACATGGAGCTCACCATCAGATGAATTCAAACTCAGCCCGTACCACAGGAAGTAAGGACATTCTCAGACCACACAGTAACAAAGGGTCCACCCTCCTTGGCCATGTGTCCACTTGGCAGGGATATGAAAAGGGCAAAGCTCTGCTCCATTTCTCCTCGGGCAGCCACCATCAATCTTCTATAGTTTGCTGAGACACAGTGAGGATGAAGAAGGGTTGCTGAACATGAAGGTAACTCCAACTCAAGAAAGCTCCATCCAAGTTTGATAGTGGGTCAGGAGCTCTGGCTTCAAAAGCCCTCCAAAAAAGATCGAATCAAGCCTGGGGCTTTCTTCATCTGTTTTACACACACACACACCAGTAGGTTAAAAGCTGTCAGGGTGAGGAAATCCTGGCCATAGGCTTTACAGGCTAAATTCAATATTAACTTCAGGGGAAAAGACACGGTAGTACTCATCAGAACTGTATCCTACTACACAAAGCCACTGTTACAACGTCCCACCCACATCAGTCTCAGGAAGCTACTGGGAGGACATCCACACTAGGGGAGGTGAAACAGGTAGTATCATAGAACCCAAGGCAATCCTGAAGAGACAACTCTGTTGGATCTTCCAAGTTCTCTGCTCCCTTTTCCTCATTTATAAACGAAGAAATTGAGGCTTGAAAACGTAGCCACTAACGGAGCTCAAGAGATAGTTCTCTATTTCTATAGATGTTAGAAACTGTCACAACTAAGGACTGACTACAAAGTGGGATCTTTGACCATTTTTGAAACCAAGGAGACCAGGATCTCTCTCCTTTTGGGGACCAATGGTGTCTGGCTCCACTCCTCTGAGAGACCACGGAAGCCAAGGCTCCTCTCAGTTTGGGAAATTAATGCGGTCAGGACCACTCTCCATTTGGAAGAACAAGAGTCAGAGCTCGAGTCCATCTGGGAGACCAAGTGGGTGATAGATCTGAGAAAGTAAGGGGTTCAGGGGCCTTTCTATCTGACGAACTAAGGGGAGTCGGGGTCCCACTCCATCTGGGGACGAATAGGGTAAGGCTTCCTCTGTGTAGAGGACTGTGAGATTCAGGGCCTCCACCCAGGATGAACACGGGAGTCAGGACCCCTCTCCATAAAGGGGGCCAGGAGCTTCAGGGCCCGTGGACATCGCGGGAACCATCAAGTTCTGCCTTCCTCCACCGGAGAGGCCCGAAGAACGAGAGTCGCTACTCCGTATGAGTACCCAAAGGTAGGACCCGTGAAGCCCCGGACGGCATAGCAACCTGCGAGGGGTCCCGCGAGAGACTGAGGAGTCCGACCCCAGGCTCCGCTGCCCCAGCCAGGCTCTGGCTCAAAGGACTCACCGGCCCGCGCTGCGTGCTGACGGTGGTCGCCATGGTGCTGCGGCGGCCCTCTGCCTCGCCGACTGCACAGTAACCCGCCGGGAGAGCTCTTCCGCTCCCACCACAACCTGCGTGGCCGACCGTTGTCCCGCGAGGCAGTCGGCTCCTCAGTCAGCTGACAGTCGCCCCGCCTCGCCCCACCCCGGCGTTCCCAAAGCACAGCACTTGGCAATAGCTGACCCCGCCCCTTCCGGCTAATCCGCGCACGCGTGCTCCTGGCTCAGGGGGACGCGGGTAGTGTCTCCCCTATGCGCCTGCGCAGTGGTTCCCTTCTGGCGCTCATTAGCCCCGTAAAATGGCTGTCAGACTGTCTGCGCATGCCTAAACCTAAACGCTCCCTTGCGGGCAGAAGCCTGCTTACCCAGCAGCACGCACCTTGAACAGTGACGTTCATCTTAACTCGGTTGAGTCGCCACAGCGGCTGGTCACCTAGCTGGAGATACCTGTGTTACCGCTGCCTACAGGTGCCTGATCCACTGGGAGAAACTGATGTTTGGCAGCTTGAGGAAAAAACAGATGGCAGAAGAACCAGCTACACTCAAGCTCTTGAATTACCTCAAAATTCTGTGGGAGGGAGAACATTTATATTTAAAATTTAAAAAAAGAAACCAAGCTGAAGGAGAGACAAGAGTGGGCCGGAACATTTCCACCGGCCTTGGATTTGCTAAATGAATGGAAGAGATGAAGATATGTCCCTAGGAAACCCAGGCCACCCACTCTTGCCTTTTCAAAGCACTCTCTTCAGAAGAATCTTTGGCTAGATAGACTCAGGGTAGTTCCTATAAGGAGTTGAGCCTATGGTGGTCACCAATCTGTAGGTCCCTTTTTACTTGTGCTGCAATAGACTTGGTACTGTCATTACTCCTAGAATATTTCCTCACTTACACCGTGTTCTCTTGTGTTTAAGATCACATCTTCCAACTCCAGTGACAGTCTGTGCTTTAACATAACATGGGACTGCATCTGGGCTCTGTTCCTGGACACTGGTCTATCCAGTACTCACTGGTCTCTAGCTCGTGTTGCCCAAACTGTCATCTCTATGCTGATAAAGATAAGACACAAAAGATTCAATCCATTGTGGCAGACAGAGTTTTAAAGAGACTCCTGATCTCTCCTGGTATCCACATTCCCGCACAATCCTTTCCTCTTGGTTATAGGCAAAACCTGTGACTTGTGTCTAAACATGCAGGAGACAACCTGTTGTATAAAATTATATCTGGATAGCAGAATAGGAACCCCTTGTGACTAAGACCAGATAAAGTTGATTGAGTTTGAGATGTCTACACATATGGCCTCAGATGGATCCCAAATCCTTCAATATTAAGCAGGTTTAAATACACACACACACATACACACCACCACCACCAACAACAACAAAATCAAGGGGGAATTGTTCCCAAGGAAAAACTTTATCTCCTAAAATGCTTCAGTAAGTCTCTGAAGTCAGTTCAAAGTCTGACACAGTCTGTCAGAGAAGAGTCACAGCATTTCCTCTTCCTTGACTTAAATCTCTCTAAAGGGTGGAGTCACATGGCTGGACATAGTCGTACTTGTTTCCACTAGATTTGCTGCAGATAGAAACTCTGTTACAGGTGGGCTATGATAAAATTTGCCTAGGTTACTTTGCAGAAACTAGAAAACTAGCTCTGCTATTAATATTGACTCTACTCAGCAGAAAGATATTTATGGATGAAAGGCTTAGCAACTCTGTGTTCATCATCTTGTATTTGTCCCCTTTGCTGCCTTCACCCTTGACTCAGATTTGTAGTACTTTTCTATTGATATGATAAGACCAAGGTAACTTACAGAAGAGTTTGTTTTAGACTTATGGTTTCAGAAGGTTAGAGTCCATGATGGTGGAGCAGGGATAGCAGGTGGCTGGAGCAACCACTGAGAGGCAAGCAGGAGACAGAGAGCATATTGGAATAGTATCAGTCTTTTGAAACCTCAAAGTCTTTCAGCAGTGACATACCTCCTCCAACAAGGCCACACCTCCTAACCCTTCTCAAATACACCAGCTGAGGATCAACTAGTCCAATATGAGCCTATGGCTCAACTGCTACAAGATCCTACTCAGCTCTGCGTGAAGACATAGAAACTCTGAGAAATGTGTTGTTGCTGGGTACAGTGGCACAATCCCATAATCCTGACAATTAGGAAGCTGAAACAGGAGCTAGACTGTGAAATTGAGGCCAGCCTGGGCTACAAAGCAAAGGGTGAAAAGCAGTTATGTCCAAGACTACAGGGCTAACTTGAACATTGGAGCTGGTATGTGCTTCTTCTTGCCAAGCATAGTGACTTAATTATCTGAGGTTCTATGACCTCTTAAGGCTCAGACCAAATCACAAGGCCAGAATATTTAAGCGAGACACTGATGCCAGTTCTAAACATAAAATTAAAATTTTAATTTAAATTTTAAATTAAAATTTCCTAGATTAAGTCAACTCAGTAGACTTGAATGCCAGAATACTTTTTCACAAGAAAGAAAAAATGCCTATGGACAAGGAAAAATGACCAAAACTTTAGTCTTTCCCAGAAAAAAAAAATTAATAAAAGCCTGCTGATACCTTAGTTAAGTTAGCAGCCTGGTCACCTTTTCAACTGGCATTAAGTCCCTTTGCTCATGAGTTGAAGTCTCAACAAAGCTTTGCCTGTGTTGTTCACCATACAAGGTTTGGTCCCCTTTCTTCTGTTTCCATACTGTAAGATCCAATCATCTTATAACTGGTAGTAGTTGCATAAATGTATGTAGAAGATGTGATTTGTGCATTGTCATGTATATAAGTTCTGTCTCAATAATTTTAAAAGTAACAAAACACTTCCTTTGTATCTGACAGGGTTGCTAATCTCAATTTATTAAAAAACCTTGACAAATTTACAAGAAAAAAGAGTAAAAACTAAAAGAAAGAAAAAGTTGGAAGTAACATAATTATCCACATACCCATTGTGAAATTCTCTCCATGGGCTCATGTGCTTAGACATTTGGTCCCCAATTAGTAGGCCTGTTTTGGAAGATTGCAGAACATTTAGGAGGTGGAAGAAATGGGCTATTTGATCCAGGCTTTGAGGTTCCAAACAACTGCTTTATTTTCACATCTTGAGTTTGTATTATCTTATTTCCAACAAGGGGATGAGGGACGCATCTTTTGTTAGTCTAGAATATTCAATAAGTCTACAGGCTCTGTTTTTTTTTAAGTGTGTGTGTGTGTGTTTGCCTGCATGTATGTCTGTGCACCACATGTATGCCTGGTTCCTGAGAAGGCCAGAAAAAGGCACTGGATGGATCTCCTGGTATTACAGGAGTTACAGACAGTTGTGAGCCGTAGTATGGGTGCTGGGAATAGAGCCCTGATTCTCTGAAAGAGCCAGTGCTCTTCAACCACTGATACATCTATCTCTCCAGTTCTCTCTAATCAACCACTGATACACCTCTCCAGTTCTCTTTAATGCTATTTTAATACACCCATGTGTTCACAATCTACTTTGATAAATTCATAGGTGATAGTCTTTTACTTGCACAAACAAGTGATTTTTCAGTCTGTGTTATAGGTAGTATTTTCTGTGTGCTCAACAAGTGAAGAGTTCTCCTGTCCATTTGAACTCAAAATGGAGTTAAATGCTGATTGTAAGTGGAGTTACCTAGGGCACAGCCCCAAAATCCAGGATTCGACACAATATGTGGTCGCTTTGGGCACATAGCCTGCCACGAACAGGTTAGCTGAGCAAAGCCACTGTGTGAACATGAGGTAATCACATGAAAACAATCAGTCGGAATACTGTTTGTGCTGGTGGGTTTTGTGATTGTAGTTGTTGTGTTTGTTGTTTGTCAACTTGACAGAAGCTAAAGTCATCTGGGAAGAAAGATCCCCAACTGAAAAAATACTTCCATCAGATTGGCCTAGAGGCAAATCTGTAGGACATTTTCTTTTTTTTTTTTTTTTTTTTTTTTTTTTTTTTTTTTTTTTTTTTTTTGGTTTTTCGAGACAGGGTTTCTCTGTATAGCCCGGGCTGTCCTGGAACTCACTCTGTAGACCAGGCTGGCCTCGAACTCAGAAAGCCGCCTGCCTCTGCCTCCCGAGTGCTGGGATTAAAGGCGTGCGCCACCACCGCCCGGCCTTGTAGGACATTTTCTTGATTAATTGTTGATAGTGTGTGGGAGGGGGCAGCCTATTGTGGGTAAGTACTGGGTTGGATAAGAAAGCAAACTTAGCAAGCCCTGGAAAGCAAGCCAGTTAGCAGTGTTTCTCCATGCCTGCTGATTCATTTTTTGCCTCATAGATCCCTGCTCTGCTTGAGTTCCTGACTTGGATTTCCTCAGTGTTTGAATATGATTGGGACATGTAAGCCAAAGCTCTTTCCTTCTCAGGTTGCTTTTGGTCATGGTGTTTATCAAGTAATAGAAAGCAATTAGGACACCATCTAAGCCAAATAAGCAGGCCTCCAATCCTACCTAGTATGACTGCCATGGGACCAGACTAGCCTCAGTTCCATAATGTTCCATCTACACAAGAATTTCTAGAAGTCTAGTAACAGACTTGCCTCTTCTCCCTAGCATCATCCAATCCAGACAAATTCCACTTCCCAAACCCTCTCCCATATGTACCTGTGCTGTCTTTTTTTTTTATTGGGAAAAGAACAATCTTGGTGTTACACAAAGGAACACATGAACAGAGTGAAAGAATTTGGCAAGGTGATTTCTTTTTGAAAAAAGAGCGTGCCAGAACCCAAACAGGGATACTGAACGCACTTACCAAAATGGCTTCTGTCTTTTATTCTTTCTTGACTTGAGGATTATTCCATTGGTGGAAGCTCAACCTCACTTTATGATGCAATTAGCTAATAAGTTCAAAGGAGAAAAGGGGAATTCTGAGAAGCAGATAACTTCTATTGGGCTGACTACTTTTGACAGAAAAAAAAGTTTTCATACTTTTGTTATTTTTTATATTTTAATTATTTTGTGCGTGCACTTGCATGCTGTTGTGTGACAGTCTTAAGAATTAAAACACTCTCCCAAGTGCCTTAGGAGGTCCTATATCTAGATCCTTTATCTGGGAAAATAGAAATTTTATTCTTACAGTTCATCCCCAGCAGAATGAAAAGACAACGTAACTTCTGGGAGAAAAGACTCTTACCAGCTGAGCTGCAGT